TGGCTGGCCTAGTACCTGGCTTCTGGGTCGCTCGTGAGGATTGGCGTCCTCATTCTCCGGCTGTACCCGAGGATATTTGGGACAAATGCTTACGAGCCAATGGTTTCTCTGGGAACGATCTGATCATGCGCGACTACCAGAGCGACGTGTGTCATGTGATGAGTACTATTGTCTCTACAGCGGTAGAAGCCGAAGACACCACCCAATCGACAACAAAGCCTGGTCGCCTTATTCTTGTCGTTGACTCACAACAGCCTAACGATAGCCAACGACGGCTGGCAAATGCAGTGCTTAGCAGCATTAACCCTGAAGGCGAACGACAAGCAACTATCTGTGAATTTTCCTTGGAGAAGCTTTCTAATGAGCTAGAGGGTGTAACTGGGGACGATATTGTTGTCTGCCTTGCTGAAGTGAATAACAGACCCCTGCTCACAAGCCTTTCCAAAGAGGGCTTTATGTGCCTCAAGACAATAATTGGGCGGGCGCCTCGACTACTCTGGGCCACAGCGACAAATACTAGTAACGCACAGTATCCTGACCATAGCTTTCTGCAGGGCTTCGTTCGATCTATCCGAGCTGAACAACCCGATAGCCAGATTGTGACAGTAGCTATCGAGAACGAAGAAGACGCAACGAAATGCTCCTCTTTCATTGCAAAGGCTTTCCGGGCTTCGTTTGACTCGTCATCTAAAGAGCTCGAGTATATCGTCAGAGACGGTTTGCTTCTAACTGGTCGGGCTGTCGAGGATGTGGAAGGGAACGACACGATGCGATCCCTTCTCTTCCCCAAACCACAACAGAAGTCCTGGGCCGAGACACCTGCCGTGCAGCTCTCAACAAATGGCGGTAACAGTCTCGACTCTCTACAATTTGTTCTAGACACTGAATACGAGGCTGATATCGCTCCCTACGAGGTTGAGATCGAAGCTAAGGTTTGGGGATTGAGTGACCAAGACGTTCAGGCAGCGCTTGGGAACCAAGAAGGTAACCAGGAATCGTTAGGAGCTGATTGTGCTGGTGTCGTCACTCGGGTCGGCCGTGCTTGTACCCTGTTCCAACCCGGAGATCGCGTCTGTATGGTGAAGACTGGTTGCATGCGCAAGTTCCCTCGCGCTTTGGAAACAAGCGTATTCAAACTGCCCGAGTCGTTATCATTTGAACTTGTTACCTCTACACTTGCTCCTGGTATGGTGGCATACCACGCTCTTGTTGATATCGCCAGGATACAACAGGGTGATAAGATTCTTATCCACTCGGCTGCGGGTAGCATGGGCCAGCTCGCCATTCAGGTTGCTAAGAAGCAAGGTGCCGATATCTTTGCTACTGCATCATCGCCCGAAGCGAAGAAACTTTTAGTGAAGACGTATAATATTCCCGAAAACCGCATCTTCAGCCAAAACGCCCTATTTGCGAAGGGGGTAATGCGCGCCACCCGGGGATATGGTGTCGATATTGTCTGGAACTCATTGGCGGGCAGTGACGAATTACAGGCTTCATGTGAAATTATAGCTCCCAATGGGCATTTCCTCGAGATCGGCCGTGGCAACTTGACGGCGAATACCACGCTACCTATGGCGAAATTTGCTCAAAATATCACCTTCTCAGTGATCGATATTACACGCTTGAAGCCGAGAACTACAGCTAAGCTGCTCGAAAACACGGTGCAGCTGCTGGGTGAGGGTAATATTCAGTACCCTCAACCGTTGCGCGTATTCGAAGCGAAGGATATTCAAAAAGCCTTCGAGCAGCTGCAGGATGGCGGGGAGGTTGGTCGCATAGTCATCCGCCCAACACCCGAGGAGGTTGTTCCAGTAGGTTAACCATCAGACAGTCTATTGTCATCAATTGACAAGAGTAACGCCCCCAATTTATCGAACGTCGAGCTAACATGTGCACATACAGCAATTTATAAAAGAGCAACGTTCGTGGAGATTTGACGAAAATGCGTCGTACCTGATCGCCGGCGGATCTGGTGGTGTAGGTCGAGCAATTACTCGGTGGATGGTGGACAGAGGAGCCAAAAATCTAATCATTCCTTCTAGATCTGGGGCCAAGTCCAAGGCCGCAGCCGAGACAGTAGCCGAATTGAGGGCGCGTGGTGTTAATGTCTACGCCCCGAGGTGCGATGTGTCATCAGAAATCAGCTTGGCTTATGTGCTAGAGGAGTGCTCCCACACTATGCCACCCATCAAGGGGTGCATCAACGCAACTGTCGTCCTCCAGGATGCTATATTCCAGCATACCATGACATATGAGCAGTGGAAGCTTCCGATCAGTTCCAAGGTACAGACGTCGTGGAACCTACACCGTCTCTTACCCCAGGATATGGACTTTTTCATCCTCCTCTCCTCTCTTGCTGGTATCAATGGTCAACTGGCGAGTTCCAACTACGCTGGCGGTTGTTCGTTCCAGGATACGCTCGCCGCCTACCGTAGGGCTAATGGTCAAAGGGCGCTGTCGATCGACCTCGGCTGGATGCGCAACGTTGGGCAGATCTCTGAAATCGGCGAATACCAACGCCAACGCCAAGAGGCTGATGATATGCAACAGACCGACGATACCGAGTTGTTTGCCCTCCTAACACTGGGATGCGACCCAACTAACCCGCTCCCAATAAGTCAGGTTCTGTTCGGTCTACGTACGCCTGCCGACGCCCTTGCCCAGGGCCGGACGCCAGCAGCTATTCTAGACCGACCACTGTACGCTGCCTTTTCGTATCTTGTGGGCTCTGGGTCAGGCGCAGACAGCACGAGTACAAGCAGCAATTTAGCCCCCGACCAACAAGCGGCAGCCCTGTTTAGCCAGGCGAAAGACTCAGACGAGCGTATTCAGGTTGTATTGAAAACATTGGCGTCCAAATTAGCTCGGGCCATGTCTATAGCACCTGAGGATGTCGAACCGAGCAAGCCATTATCGGCATACGGTGTTGACTCACTTATGGCTGTGCAAGTGAGGAACTGGATTAACAGAGAGTTCAGCGCCCCGGTGGGTGTATTCGAGATTATGGGCGGGGTGTCCATCGCAGGTATTGCTGAAACAGTTGTAGCAAAGAGTACAGCTGCATAAAGTATGGAATAAATCAGGTTTGGGTTTGGATTTGGATTTGGAAACGAATGAAATGACTATGTGGATATAATTCTTCTTTTCTCTCTACATAACTATTCCATCTATATTTCATCTATTATAGTATCTAATAATATCAATCAACTATGATACTTAAGAAACGGTGAAGACAAACGGTGAAGACGCGAGGCGAGGAGGCGCAAGCGGCGTGATATGCCAGTATGCCAAGATCACATGACAACATGGGACTGCACATATGCTTCGTACATCCATGTATCAACCAATAGGGGTCTGAATACGGATCCGTAGTGAAGGTCAAAGCGTCTGGCGGGTTCTGCATCTGATAAACCCCTCCTATCGGGATCAAGACCGGTGGCTTAACAGGAACCATTAAGAACACTTTGACAAGTCACTTCAGACCGAGATACCTAGCACATCATTGTGAAGAACTAGGTATAGTTATTAGAGAGTAACCTATAGGATTTCATATAGGAAATATCCGGATCAACAGACGAGCGGGACTATTTAGGATGGTGAAGAAGCGATATACTTAGATACCTAAATACACAGTATTAAATGCCAAAATACCTTCAATTATTGTAAGGTAAGCTTCTAAGTAAGACCCTTGTATTAAGAAGCCCCGACAACGGGAGAGCCATGATAATTCTTTGGCAGTTAATATACATGGCATGTATAAGTAAGAATATTACTATTCATCGTTAACGAAACGAGGGAGTATATGCATAAGTATAGAACAGCACAGTGCTTAGGCACCTAGTCAACTATTATTATAATACTTGGACTTTATTATGTTCAGGACGGACTACCTATGGCTTGAACGAAAAAAAAAAAAGAAAAAAAGACTTTGAGCAATAAGCCAGCAATGACCTAACCCCTAACCTATATCATAGACAATTATACACAACTTGGGCTAAACCTTGTAAGGCAAGTTGTACCCCTAGTCAGCCCTGCTATACAACCTTAAGTGTCTACCCTTGGCGTTGGGAATTAAAGATTACTATACATACCATGTTCTTGTTGGAAACATATCTTTCAACCGCCGAATTCGTTCCTCTCCGGAGGACATTCCGCTACCCATAAGTGGAGTGCCCGTCGGCATTCTTCGAGACCACGACTGGTTTATCCTTGCCGATCTCCTCTCTCACATAGCTAACTACATGCCCCCGCGGGAAAGCGGTGTAGCGGAATCGTACAATGTAAATAGCTTCAGCCATAAGGATCTTCGGTAGGCTAGGTACCAGTCCCGGGGATGGATATCCTATGTATGAGCCGGGTTCTTAGCAATTGCCGGACCATCCGATGCAGGGTGATTGGAAATCTCCACTGGGTACCTATGTATGCGCTGTCGAGATGCCGTTTGTCAAGGGTGCCTGGCGTTTAGCGAGCTGCTTCTTGAGATTGACGTCTTCGGCTACCTACACTACTAACCGTCATACACCCAGTCCTACGAATACAGCCAAGCTGCCGTAGACCGAGGCGAGGCGGCTGAGGTTACCCGTCGGTTACCTGCGGATATGGCTTGGCGAAAGAGCTCGAGCCGTTTGGAACAACTAATAGGTAGTGTTGTAGATGGCTTGACAAAGGATCTTCAGTCTGGGTTGCGCAGGTAAAAGGAATTGGAAGCTCCGAGAGGAATCTCGTCGGTAGGTAGCCACGCCTAAACGTATACCTACATACACCAAGTGCCTGTGTAAGGAACGGACTTCTTAGGGTCTCGTACAACCGCAGAGGCCATATTCTTGACACCATTGTGCAACCCGCTTGAATGTTGCATCCAGGCCAGCGGCTCCGGGAAGAAACAGGGAGATATGTTATTGAGATAGTAACGCAACACCATCCATTGCCATCGATCAAATGTGATTCGGAAGTAGCCCTAAATAGCCCTATGTATTTTGATCCAAGTTACGTTCCGCATGATACGCCTAGCCAGTTCATTTGCTCGCCCCCTAATGCTACCAAAAAAAAAAGGCGGATAAAGTGGCCTTTCAAACGGCGAACGTTACCAGATACATAGATTCTTTAAATTTACACATCATTACTATTCTTAGGTATGAAGGAAAACCTTCATATATAGCTAGTTGAAGTTATTGGGCCAAGCTATCGCCGACACTCCTGATAATTGAACACCTGCATCGCCTTTCCCCAAAGCATCGTCCTAGGAGGCTGTCATATTGCGAGGACACAGCCGACTCCTTCCACCTACGGACGGACTGTTGTCGATAGCTATCGGTCTCTTCCAGGACGTCAAGAAGGTAAGCACGGTCAGGAGGCTCTGCAGACATATATGATACACATATGTGCCTAGGTACTAAACGACGTCGAGCAAAGCGGTTTCAAAGATAGGGTATATCGACAAGACCTCCAGATCCGTTCGCTCCATTCAAGACACTCTGCTTCTGGACTTGGGTCGTTGATGTCCAACATCGCATTCAATTCCTGTCTAAGCGTATTTATCAAGATGTTAAAGGAGGCTGCATTAGTGAAATGCAATGCAGTTACGCCATTGGGAAACACGTAGCTCGTGCCAAAAGGCGATTTCGGGTCGTCTTCTTCGTAAATAGTCTTGCTTTGTAATAGGGGCTGCACGGTATTTCGGTCGAGCGCGCGGAAACTTTCTCCTACGTCGCGAAGAGCTATCGAGAGCGCTTCGAGAGCCTGCGAGTCCCGTAGGTGCTCGGGGACATTGCGGATTTTTGCGAAGCGTCTTACAACGTCGGCAAGTATCGTCGACTGGTGGATGATCTTAGATATCTCGACGAGGATTGGCGTCCGGGTCTTGTATTAAGCGAAGAAGCTCACAAGTGCGTTCTCCCAGTCGGGTTGCGTGAAGAAGTTGTCGATGTCACCTCTTATGAGAAGCCTGAACTATTAAACCCGTTAGCAAAGTTCAATCCCTAGACACAAGACCTGTCTATTATTTACCATAAAGCCGAAGGAGTCGAGTATGAGCTGGCAGCCAAGGCCATTTCCCGGTTTAGGGGCTCCCCTTTTCATCATTATGGCGTAGATCCCATTGCAGTGAGATATCTGATCGATGCCTTTTGAGTAATCGAATAAATGCTATATTGATATTAGTTAGACTATTTACCTATCTAACGATTACTGTTAAGACCACTTGCCTCGGTCGTTTGAAGATAAATGGTTGCAGCTAGTGTAGCGGATGATGTTTGCTTATGCGGATCGTCTAAGGCTTTCTGCAAGCTGCGGAGGGCGCCGTTGTAAGATACAAGACTGAGAACATCGTGCGGGCTCGCTCCCTGGCAGATCTGTAGCCACGTAGATACCAGAAGGTTCGTGGCATCGTATAAGGCCTCGCTGCTCTCGAGGAGAGGCGGTACGTATCGCAATGTGCTCAAGAATACCGTTAGGCTATGCCCCGTTCCCTCGCTGGTGCTAAGATGTTTTATTAGATTGCCTGCTAATAGATCGGCTTGAGTTCCGGATACTTTTTTGGTATTGGCTGTTTCTGACTCCATATTCTCACCTTGGAGAAGGTTGCGCCGTCTGTAGTAGTTTTATTCTTGAGATTTAGCCAGTTTGTATTGGGGCTGGCATCTAATACGTTGTCCGTACGACTTGTAAAATGATTATTTTCGTCTTCATGTTTATCCTGACGAGTATGTCTTCCACCATGTACAAACTTGACGCGCTTTGATGGACCGGAACATTCCTTGCCTGCCTTTCTACAGCTTCCGCAGGTTGGCCAAGCTTCGTCACACTACCGGCAAGATGTAAGGCAGCATAGGGCTGTAGCTGAACAGCTGAAATGCGCACGTACCTTGGTCTTCCGCCACCTACAAAAGTCGCACCTATTGCTTTTTGGTACGCCAACCATTTTCTTGACGCTGAGTGAAATCTATTGCCGCTTAATACAATCTGCTATTGGTGTTGCTTCATATTTCCGTTAGGTATGTAAGCATCTTCGCCCAAATGTTTTATATAAGCCTACGCTTGACCCGTTGTTATATACGTGAGAAGCCGTCGTAGGACTTGTTGCGACAGCTACCGGGTTCGTATCGCGAGCTACAAGTTTGGCTTAGTCGTTGACTTTTCAGGGGTTAATTGACAATTATAGTACCTTAGATACCCGTAATACGACCTAGCACGGACTCCCTCTGGGGCTATGCCAACCAATTACCGTACATTGTACAGCATGGCTAAGGCTTTAGGATGTTAGGACACTCTGCCTATGCTCATTCTGTCAATGTCTATTCTAATCCTCTTTGACACCCTCACAAGTTCAGATAGTAAGGAAGTTGAGTCTACTATTAGTTGAATATCTACCCAAGTCATAACTATTGTAATAAGTACTAATATAATGAGGTAACTACTTAGCATAAAAGATGTTAGCACTGTAGATAAATGATAAAATCACCAAGGGGTTTAAACTAGTTGTTAGAACTCTGAGCCTATTTAAATATTTATTAAATACAGCGAATGAGCGACACGTAAAGACTCAATCTAGTGAGCTCGGTAAAGCAACGTTGTTAATACAAGAAGCAGCAATGTTTTCCCCTTTTCTTGTTTCGCCCCTTTATAATTCTACCGATATACTTGGCTATTGTCCGACGTACTACTGCGGCTCCAAGCGTCGGCTACGTCCTCGACTTTTACACCTATAATGTCCTCTAAGTCGTGCACTTTTTCCATAAGTGAGCGTAATACGATCATAACCTCATCGTTCCTACGCAGGTCCTGACTTCCGTACATATCCGAAGGTAGGCGTCTGGACCACGCGGGAGTTTGCGTGGCGGTATGGTAGCTGTGACCGGGCTCAGTATTCCCGCTTGGGAGGTTTGGCATAGGCCGGGGCGCATAACGACGCTTCGCTTTAGTAAAGGAGTCCGAGTTTTGATTATGCGAAGTGCGTCTAGAATAGGGATTAGCTTCTATAGTTGTCTTGTTGTGTGTATGTTCAAGCTGCCAGAAAAGGTCATAATGGTTCGTAGAATACTTACTGATTACTGCTATGATTATTTTTTGCAGAATCGGTAATAATATTTATAATCTTCCGCAACACTTTTGGAATCAAGATCTTCCCTTTGAAGTTGAGGCCTTGCTTCGTCTCAATTCCTTCATAGCCATGAAGATCTAGTCTCTCCAGAAGTGACTCGATATTATATGCGTAATGATCTGGAAATTCTTGGACGTAGTCCTGAAATATCTTTGACTGTTGTTCACTCCAACGATATCTTGTTCCTTGGTTATGTAGGTACACCTGATGATCGAAGAGAACATCACTCGGTTTCCGTCGTGGTCTGTTTCCCGAGAGGAATGAATTGCGTTGATTGAAGTGGTGCATGTCTAGTTGCTTGTTGCTAAGAACTACGAGAAATGAAGATGTATTCTAACCTGCAATTGAGGTTTTCGGTATGTACGGTATCAATGGCGTGGTGTGCTAGATGATAGAATAACATGATGGCTATTAACTCGATATTTATATCTTGTGGTCGCGACCCTAAATTAAACTGAATAAAGGGAAGAAGGCCTGAAGAGAATATGATCGTGCCATGTATCAACTCTTTCCCGTAGAATATGCGTCGAAAGAGTGAAAGCTATGGGGTGACTTACGCGGGCAGAACATGGGTCTGGTTTCAAACTGCCACAATTTATAAGACATAGAATTCGTTTACCTAGGTGCCTAGCTATAAACAACGCAAGCGGTCGTTCTAGGAGCTTCCTTAGAGAATTGGACTGCTAGCTGACGTGGCAGAACACATCTCCTGAAACTCTGTTTATAAGGTGACTTTGTACCCTTTGAAAACTCAGTAAGGATTCTTACTTGAGTAAGACAGCCGTATCTTTACCTGTGGCTAGTACGAACATGTCTATGCTTATGATTGGGAAGAATCAGCTTTTATACCAAGGTTGGCTAACTAAACAAGCGCAGAAAAGTCTTCCTGAGAGACTATGGTATCATACTCCTGTAACGCCTTTACCTAACTATGCGAAACGTAGAATAAATCTGAAAGTCAGTGCTGGGAATGCCGGATCCGTCACGGCAATCTCGTGATTTACGTCCAACCCCAATCCTTCTTTTAGGGTCTTGTCCAAGTTTGATCGGGTTTGCTCCTCAATGCTTGGTGGGAATTGCATATATAACGTCTTGCCTTCGGCTCTGATTGAGGGTTTCTTCAACTGGAGATCGGCCTTTGTGGAAAAGGAGTCGAGGAGTTCCCTCAGTGTCCAATTGGGGTCAACTTCTAGCGGCTTGGCCACTTCACCACACACGGCGCAATCCTCTTTCTTGTCGTACTTAAAAGTGTTGGTGTAAATGCTGTCATCGCCGGAATACATCATGTAACTCTCCTCGAACCCGAGCGCTGGCGCGGCTGCGGTGGCTATCTTTAAAGCCTCGTTGCAGCAGCTCGCAGCAATGATAGCGTTAGTGGACGCTATTGCTGGTATAATGTTTTTGACGACGCCTTGTGTGAGCGAGTAGGTAACACCTGTAATTCCAAATTCTTGAGCTCGCGCGAGGGCTTTACGATATAGCCATGTGATATGCTCGGGATCGTCCTTGTCTAAGCTTGGGAACGGTTTCTCCTGGTCCCATGCAATAATATGAGCCCACTCTATGCAGTGCTCCGGTTGACGGGGGATAGTGGCCAATGTACAAAGTGGTACTGCCGCTCTTGGAGTATAGAGGTCTAGTTGGCACTCGATACACGGTGTGAGGGTTGGGAATACGACCCTAGTTTGGCCCTTGAATCCTAACCACGGTTAGATTGCCATAGGTCCCTATAGATATGGTGCGAGGAAATGCTACCTTCCGTTCCGCCGTCGATCAATGGCTTTAGAGAGTCCTGGTTCTCCATATCCACCATGTTCACAAGGGTCGCGTTGATCCATCGCCGTGCTTCGATGCTGTCGAGACCACAGACGACTAGCTGGAACTGCATGTAGAAGTCCTCATCGAACTCTTGGATTCGGCAGTTATGTGGGGTAATCTTGACACCTTTGACTCGCTTCTCGACGAACTTGGCGGCGACTTCTGCTTTGAATTTGCCTACGTCGTCTTTGCGAAAGAGGAATTGGCGGTTGAGGTTGGAGATGTCGATGGTGTCTGGTGCGAACGCGAGAAAGTTAGTCTCACATTAGGGTTGTAAATAGAATAGCTTACCCATATCTATGACATGAATGTCCTTAAACCCAGAAAGGGCAAGGTTCTTGAGTATCTCGCAACCGAGTCCACCAGCACCAATAACAAGGATCTTGGTCTTGTCCAGTGTCGCGAGAGCTTCTTCGCTTACATCTGCGTCCTGATTGAAAGGACCAGGTGTCCTTCGAATGCGGTCTAGATATTGCCATCTTGAGGTATTGTTTTGTATTACAGCGGCCGCCATGATGTGATATGTTGGATGTCGTGCGGTGTGCCTGGTCCGACAAAAAGAGGAAGCTTAGGAACTTTAATATGCACTTCTTTAATCTTGGAGCTCTCGAGAGGAAGGTGAAAGGTGATGTTTGGTGATTTGATGTCATCTTTTATCGCTGATAGTGATATATAGGGGCGCTAAAGGTGGGGTGTTACTACCTTTAATACAGAATATCGAAATATACAGTATTTATAAACTAACGCTAGCTATTGCAGCTACTAAAAGGTAAGTAGTATGAGGTCATCCCTAATAATTCTCCCGTTTACAAGTAACTCAGAAGAGACGATTTCAATTGATAATTTCATCCTTAAAATCTAGCATTATTGAAATAAAATCATCTACCTAAGCATGTCGTTTCCGAGCGTCGGGAGCGAGTATCATGCCAAGAAGCGATAATCCTGGATAATTCAATCGTCTAGGACCGTCTCATTTAAGATCGTCGATTATCAAAATGGAAGGCCTACTTACTCCCGTGAGCCAGAATTACCGTAAATCCAGCCAGCATGACGAGCTGTTCAAAATTTCAGAGCCCGTTAGACCTACGCTCGAAACGCAGACTAAGTTCGGTGGCTCATCCCCAGAAGAGGCCCTTGAAGTTCTCAAGAGCCAACCAAGCTATGATCTTCTGCTTTCCGTATTAAAATACTTGCAAAAGGGCTTACGAGGTAACCACTCCTTCGACATTCGAAAGCCGACTCCTCAAAGCGCCCAGATTATACATGTATTGGTTACTGAGATTGTTCCCAATTTTTGGACTGTGCTACAAGATGCATCCGCGGGGCAAAGTAAAGGAGACCTTCATGTGCTAGTCTCCTGCTTGCGGAGCCTTGCGGGTATCAATGCTGTAGTGGCATACCTCCGTGCTTTATTGAAAGAGGCCAAGCTAGACTCAAAATCTCTAAAGGACTCACCGGTCACCTTCAACCTAAGTTTCGTCCTGGAGCTGCTCGCCCACCTCCTCCGTTCGCATGATGACATAAAGTACCTATGGAGTAATGCTAGCTTTTCAGGGAACCCGACTCAGATTCGGCTCGTACGCCAAGAACTTGTTTCGTTATTTACAAATGGGAAAATCATCTCACTCTCTGCAGAGGCGGAAGACATTTGCCGGCAGGCCGGACGATTGAAGGCTGAAGTTTGGATTAGTAATGTTAAGCTCTATATCAACTGGCTTGCTGAAAACATAGTACAGTGGGTTGAATCAGGGGTCAGTGAAGCTGAACTCAAAGTATGTACCGATATATTGACACGTGGAATGCGGTTAGGACATTCAGGTAAGTGTTATTCTCCGTATAACAAACCATCCTGCTAATAAATACTCAAGAAAGTCTTATTAATACGTTAATAACGGGTTTGCTTCTTCGAAACGTCGAAAGCCACGGAACATTTGAGAATTTGTTGAGCTCTCTTCCACCTCTCGAGCAGCGGAAAGTTCTCAATTTGGCTCTAAAATTGCTTTCGGACAAATACCTGAGCTCCATACACGACACTAGTGAGATAATAGATGCCCCTATTATCCAAGCTGCATCTGGAGTCTTGAAGGCGATAATAGGAGACGATGAAACTCGGAAGAATCATCTCTTGGACTGGTTGACGAGCGGATCTGGTGCGGGTATTGGCGAAGGGTATGGCATTAGACGGGCTGCCGTCGCTGTTTTTTCCGATGACAAGGAATTCATAACAACCGTCTTGGAGAAAAGCCTAAGCCAGTTCGGTGACAAACTATATATCAAACATGCCCCCCTACTCCAACAAGACGGTTAGTTCTACAAATTCAATTTTCTCCCTGGTGAAGCTAACCAAGAACAAGCACATGCCCAAGTACTACTTCTTAGTGCTGGGTACGCCCATAGACTTGCGCCAATAAAGCTTACTATTTTATTACGATCAAGTATTTACTTGAACGCTATATCTAATCGGATTGCCGCGTCGCAAAACCGTGCCCGTTTCCTAGGGATGGTGGTTGGCGAGGCTCTCTCGGGGCTTGTTCACGGCAAGGAGACAAAACTTGACTTCAAGATGGACGAGATGGATACAGAAGAAGCGAAATGGTATAAATCGTTGGTCCAACTGTCTGACAAGCCTGGTCCTTTAGATCCACTAAAGGAAATGGATGTCCTGCCGAAACCCTCTAATATCCCCAAGATAACAAGACCCTCGGTAGCACCCGCGCAGCGGGCTGGGAAGCCGCCTCTTCAGTCAGGTTTCATTATCGAGGAAATTCAAGATGAAGAAGATGAAGAAGACCCAGATCTCGTGCCGTACGTGAAGCCTGATTCGGACGCCGAAGACTCAGATGACGACCCCACACTCATTAATCGTGACAAGCCTAAGGCTCCTGTCTACATTCGCGACCTCATCACCTATTTCAGAGACCTAGAGAACTACGACCGTCAAAAGCTTGCTCTAACGACAGCCCCTACTCTGATTCGTAGGAAAGCGAACTATGGCACGGAGGTTAGCTCTCATGCAGAAGAGCTCGCTACTCTCCTCGTCGGCTTACAAGACAAATACGAACTCGACAATTTTGATGATCTACGCCTACAGGGGATGATTGCAATCGTGGTTGCACAGCCAAAGAAGATGGGCCAGTGGTTCGCTAAGACGTTTTTCGATGGAGACTATTCATTGTCACAGCGCGCGTCCATATTGATGGTGTTAGGCCTCAGTGGTCGAGAGATAGCGGGCTTCGAAGTATCTGAATATGGCTCAACGGCACAATTTCCTTCCAAGATGCTCCCCGCCAAAATCGAAAAGTATTATGCCGCATCCTCGCCGTCGAATAGGCTTGAATCTAGCGCACATAATTTGAAGGCCCTCCCTCCTAATGCGTTGGACAACCTTGCCAAATCCCTCTCGCAGGCCTTCCTAGCCCCGCTAGCCGCTGAAGCAGCAGACTCGGTAACAGGGCCAGACGCACTCAAGC